AAATCATATATGCGACACAATCTCTATCTCATTACAACGCTTCGCTATGCTATGCTAATAAAAAAGCCGCCGGAACCCGACTGATCTCCGACGCCTATATCCCCTGAACCTTCCTGTACGACGGAGGCTTGATCCTCCTTCTAATCAGCTTCCCCGCATACCACGGAATCAAGCTGACTGCACAAATAGCCGCCACTCTCCAATAGAACCCCCTATTCTCCGTTAGCATTTAATCGCTAGCCACAATGTGGATAGTAAACTTACAAGGTCATCATATATCCCAAATCAAAGTAGCCCCCAAGGAACGGGACGCTCGCCACATACGCAAGCGACGTCCCGACAAGGCAGACCACCATAACCCAGTGCCACGTAGTGATTTCCATGGCCACCATGCACAGCTCGTTAACCACCACACATGTAAAGCTCACGGCCACCATCCTATTTCCATCGACCTCTGTTAGGATTTGGCTGAGCCCCTGAATAATGCAACCCTGGTAGATCGACACCCCAACCCACATGAAGAACGTGCGGTAGCTGAGCGATGCACCAGATGTGAGTTCCTTGTACAGCTCCGGGTACAGATTCGCGAGGTCCTCGTCCACATCGCGGTCCAGCACGAGGGAAAAGACAGGCGCCATAGTGTACACAGTAGCATATCCGACCATCAGCCAGTCTATATACAGACCCTCCGGCTCGAATTTCAAGGCGATACTGTACATGGTCTGGCAAACGGCGACGATCAGTCCTCTGTGGATGACGAACTGTGCGAGCTTGGCTGAGCGCTTGTAGCTATTACGGCCATGCCAGACAAGCAGCTTAGTCAGATGACAGAATTGCTCGATGGAGAAGTCTGCAGCGAGAGACGCCTGCCGACCTTCCTTCCCGACAATTCCGACGCCCACATCCGCGGCTTGAATCATAGAAACATCGTTACCGCCATCACCAATGCAGCAGACTCGCTTCTTCGTGTATTCGCGGATGAGTTTTGCAACGTCGGCTTTTTGAGTTGGGGAACAACGGCAAGCGACAACGGTAGGGAGGCGAACGGCAAGGGAGATGAAGTCGTCGCGGAAGTATCTGAGGAATAGGGCTAAACTCTCACCGTCGATGAGAAGGCAAGCGTCCAGTTTGCTGTGGAGGAAGTCCAGGTGGTCTTGAGCGTTATCTTTGCGCTTGAGCTGCGCGACAGTATGCACATATTGACCACGAGCGACAAGCTTGGAGCTCACAGCAACACAGCGGGCTGTTTCGACTTTATCACCTGTTAACATCCAAATCTTGATACCTGCATTGCGGAGAAGCTCGAGGGATGCCTTCACATCCTTTTGTAGCTTGTCCTCGACACCAGTCACGCCAAGTAACTCGAGGTCACGCTCGAGGTACTGGGAGACCACTCGCGCAATGCCACCATCGCGACCCTGGATCTCAATAGATGCCTCCCTGTGCTTCACTGCAAACTCTTTGTAATGCTGGGCGGATAGTCGCTTTCTCCCAACAACAAGCGTCCGTAATCCTTCCCGGGCCATATTTGCCGTTTCTTCGTCAAGCCAATCATTAGCTGCAACAATGTTACCCATAACTGTGTCCGCGCCTTTTTGGTAAAACCAGATCTCTCCAGCCTCAAGGTCAGAACGGAGAGTTGACTCATTGCCTTCATAAAACTGCACAATAACTCCCATACGCTTTCCTTCTGAAGTGAACGGGAAGATGTCGAGAATCTTGACTCGGACAACTGAACGGCCAGTATCCACAGACTGGAGTAGCATCCCCTTCCTGTCTCGGTGTAGTAATCGCAGACCCACGGCTTCCGTCCATTTGACAATGGCAATTTCGTCAGGTGAAGAGGCTTGGTATGTGGTGACGGTCTCCCCATTCTCCTCATCCATAGTAGGAGTTACATTGTGACAAAGCGCTAGGGCTAGAACAACATCACGAACACGAGAGCCAATCTCTCGTCTTGTTCGTGTGGCCGTGACATTGGTGGCCGTGGCGACATAGGTTGAAGATGGTGTTATTAGAGTAGCGCCGTTATTCCTCAAGGTTGGAATGGAAAAGCCTTGCTTAATATATGACGCCACTTCATCCATAGCGTCGTTGGCATACGAGACTGTGCCAACATGTATTTTCTTCATTTCCATTTCGTTTTGTGTTAATGTGCCAGTTTTGTCGCTCAGGAGATATTCGATGCGGCCGAGCTCTTCCGGTATTGTGCTGGTACGGACCACCGTTCCTTCGATGCCTTTGTCTCTTTGGATATACCAGGAATATACAGATTTTCCCATATCAAGATTCACTCGGAGACTTATCGGAACGATGGTCGAAAAGAGAACTAAGAATCTCACAATCTTAACATACCATTTCCCAGTAACAGTGTGCCCAACCGCCTCAAAGGCAACAAGGACGATAGAAAGGGTAACTGTGAGAGCGCAGAGTATCTTAACCAACGAGTTAATCTCGTATTCCAACAAGCCAGTCTTTGACCGAGATTGAGAAGTTGACAAGGCGGACCTCGTTTGAGAACCGGTGTAAATTATGACGGCAAGGGTAACAGCGTTCGATGCGAGAACTGTATTTGCCCACGCAGTATTGTCTATTGATAGTGACGCGGTCTTTGAGCCATCGGGATGCTCCTCATCTGCCCCTTCAGTTACATTCGATGGGCCACCCTGTAATTTATCAATCGACTGTCTCGAACCCCACCCGTAGGATCTCGGTTCAAGCTCGACTGTGCCCATAAACTCGTTCACCTTCTTATCAGGTTTTCCAGCTGTGACTCGAAGTCTCACAAATTCAGACACTGCCAAGGACTGTGTCAAAGGAGAACCAAGACGTAATTTCCAGTCAGTTTCTCCGTCAAGCTGATCCGTCCTGATGAAGGTCTCTCCGATTCCGTCACCAGCAGGCGAAGGGGCGTTCTCAGCCGGTGGCGTTTGTTCCACTCTAGATGTAGAAACTGAATCTCCTAATAAATATTCGGTTTCGTTGGTCGCATCTGGTTGGCCATCTGGGCCGTCTCCAGCCGACGAATCATGTGTATAACTTTGGAGGATCACCACATCAGCCGGCACACGTTGGTCTTTTCCAAGTTTCAGGACATCACCAACACGCAAATCGCGTGACTTCTTAACAACCTCAATGTAGGTAGCTGACGGTTCCGGGGGGGATAAAATCCCATCACTCTCTACCGCCTCTTCTTCCTCTCGAATGTCGCCAAGCCTATCGCGCCTGCGACTCGTCTTGCTTGCTTTTCTCGCCGATTTCGGTGCTCTTCTTCTAAAACTCATCCCCTCATTATCATATCCAGCGGCATCAAATCTTACAACCGTATATCCCTCCGAATTTGCCTCATTGTCTCTCCTCCTCCGGTCTATGTCGTCAAATGCTTCCTTCCCCAATGTGATGGCCAGAACAAACACCAGCGGAACAATATATGTGGATAGATATCCAATTCGCAGTGCGGGTATGGCTTGCGATAAAGCGACAAGTAAAAAGTACATGTTGAAGAAGAATGAGAACTCGTTGTACAGGGTAACCGGAAGAAAGCTCCACGGTGTGTATTTGGCGTTTGAGACGGCATTAGGGGGAAATTTCGTGGCTTGAGATCTCCCAACAGCTACTGTACGCGACGACGCAGGATCGTGCTCCTCCTCCGGGTTCTCGTCGTCGTCAGGTTCGTCAGGCCTGGGAGGGCTTTGTAAGAAGCTGGGCATTCGAAAGCGGGAGCCCATCCTACTGACTGTGCTGCGGTATGCATCGGGGCTTGGACGTGAGCGTCTTCTCTTCGAGCCCTGCAATAAAGCCGCATCGTCCTCATTGGTGGCGCTGTTGTCTGTATTCCAACCTCCATCACCCCCCTGATCATCGTGTGCCCCGCTATCCTCCCCACCTCTGCCTCTGCCTAGCTCGCCATATCTCCGATGCCTCGCGCCCGTGCCCCGAAGTCCGCCCATGCGCAAGTTTCGTAGTGCTATATGCCCTTTTCGCTCTTGATGCGCCCGAATCTCTTCGTGGCTCCTCCTGCTCGCAGCGGATGCCAGCCCATTCGACGGGTTTGAGGTTGTGATAGGGTCGAGCTCTTGCAGGTCAATATCTAGGTCGGAATCTGAATCTTCAACTGGGGGGCTTTGGGCGTTTGGCTTGCTGTAGTGTGTCGAGGACGACATGCCAGGCTGCCGGAGAGCACGGGGGTATGGGTGCCTTTTAGGTTACGTGTGGTAACGTATTCGAAATAAAATATATAGGCCGCAAGTGTTCTTCAAGCATAATTTGGTGTCTTAGAGGTGTAACCGAACCTTGGGTTCTTGTAAAAGGGCGTTATGATATTTGGCGTTCGGGTGGACGAGTACGCAATGACATACGTAGAAGCCAAGTCGGCCACAATTGTGCCGCCTCCCACTGGCCACTCACGTGACACCGAAGCTTTGCCTTGGTGATTTCAGCCTTCTTGAAGCCCAAAGCCCCAACGGAGAATCTTTATACTGCGGCAAGTATAAAGTATAATAACCATTTATCTTTTCTCATTGTGTAGAATGCATTGTCTTGCTAAAGTCCTTGCTTCTACTGCACACATTTTGCGTTCTTAAACGGGTTTGTGTCACACCAGGAAAGCACATTTATGCAGTATCATAACTGTGTAGAGCGTATTTGCTGCAGCGGCATCCGTAGAACAACGTGGCGATTTCATAGATTGATATTGTAGAAATTATAAGGGAACTTGATAATTCCCGTCACAATCCTAAAATCCCTTGTATTTCTTCGATCTGCATGTTTCGCAGGGATTCGCGGAATTTGCGGCGAGGAGTCGCGTCTAACATTAACTTAGCGCTTCGCTAGACGGCAGCCTACCTAAAATCCAGAGCGAAGCGAGCTCGCTCTCCTCGTAAATAGGCACCAGCGTTTAGGCATATCTTAACGATCCGCTTCGGCGCTGGAAACCTGTTAAAAACCTACTATTTGTCAGAAACTCTAATATAAATCAATACCAATAGCCATCCATAGTCATGTCTCGCGAAATCCTCCTGGTAGTTTACCATCAATCCCTGAACACGCCGGCGCACTGGACTATGTTCATCCCGAACAGCGACGGAGATGTCCAGGGGAAAAAGATCCATGCCGTAGGAAACCCCTTCCAAGGCTACCAGCTTGAAATCGCAGAGTACGACATTTCGAAGGACGGACGAAAATATGAGATAATCTCCCTCGGGACTATAAATGATAACGGGCTATCCCAACTCGATACTAAGGCTCGGAGTATTCCAGCACCTGGCGTTAGCAAGAATCCATTGAATCGATTCGAGGTAAGGCACTTTTGTATAAGAAGAGATTTAGACTAATGGGTATTACAGGTTGATAATTGCCAAAGCTGGCTCAAGCGTTATGTTGATTTACTAGTTAAAGATGGGGTGATGGCCCAGCCGGCTCGTGATGCGCTTGATAATGCTCCGAGAATATAAAGGGCCTCGAGGTATCACTGTATCTAGATTTTCCCGTCGTCAAAGGCTTTACTTGAACTATAAATCGATGGGGCCCACAGGGGATAAATTTGCTGCTAGGTTCCATCGATAGAGGTATCTTGGACAGATACTCTCAGACAGATTTCCCAATTCAGCGTATCTTCCGCTGAGTAACTGTCATGTATCTCAGAATCAATAGTGATAAGATGTTAATCTATGCTGTATCAGCACAATAGTTTTTCCAGGCAAGATTATATTCTTTATTAATATAACTACCTATGCGGGCATTTTGTCACGTCAAGACCTACCAAAACCTGCACCATGGCCTCCATCCGAGACGACCCAACGTAAGGTGGCCGTGCCAACCTGTTCTGCTCCAGGAAACTGACATTACCAGGCTGGAAGAACCCTTCTGGAATGATGAGATGAAAGAGCAGTGCGACCAGGCCAAGTCTTTCTGGAAACTGTGGATCGGGAGACAGTGCGGAAAGTGCTTAAGATTTCACGTGACGGAGGAAGAAATCGAGATTCTGAAGGAACACAAAGAGAACTTTGACGACGTAAGTTTGGACGCGTTCTATTTTTCACGCCCATTAATTCGTCACGTTGCCTCTCAAGTCATTTCAAATATTGCTGGTCTATAATTCCCCATCAACTTCTCGATCAAATATCCACTCTATCAAAAACTTGGCCAAGAACTGACGATATCCACAGTCAAGGACGCTTTTCCTCGGAGTCCACAAACTCCTTGCCGTCGACATCGCAAACCGCACCGAGTACTACGAGACCTGCAGAATACGCTCTAAATGGGGCGAGATGCACGAATCAGCCTTGTTCACCATGGACGTCAAGAAGAAATACCGGCACGCCACAGAGAAAAGGAGGAAGGCGCTTTGGGAATACCAGTGCAAGACCGAGCAGCTGGGCGTGGAGATGGACGATATTGCTGACATAAAGTGCATGATTGACGCGTAAGTCCCCTGCTGAATTGATGGGCTTGTTTTGGGATTCTGATACTTTTGAAGACTGGCAGTGGACGTGGCGAGAGGCGTTGCGCCCGCCGAGGGAGAATGTGCGAAGGATGATATGCCCGAGAAGAGAGGAGTAGTACAGAACTGAAACAAATGTATATCCATTTTACCTACACAAAAATACTACACACAATACGGCCGTATACAATGTCCCGACTCCCTCCTCACATCCCCGCAATCCCCCTTCCCACTGCCCCAGCAATCTGAACAAGACCCCCTTGAACAGCGTCTTCGGAAGATCCCCCGCCCAATGCCCCATCTCCCTCAGCCTCCTCTCCCAGGCCATCTTCTGTTCCTCCCCAAGTTCCTCCCACGTCCTCCCATCATGCGGGCCATGCTCCTCCTTATTGTCCAGGTGGGCATCAACCAGGCCCCCCAGCGCCGGCCTTGATATCCCGCTCTATCTCCTCTCTCGCACCCTCCTCATCCCCGGCGTTGAAGGTGGCGAGCTTCTCCGTCTCCTCGTCGGCTCCACGCTCTCCAACCGCCGGCCTCATCACAATTGGCTGCCCCTCTGCGGCTTCCGAGCGTAGCGCGGCCAGGGGCGATGCAACAGGATGGTCGGCGAACGCCTCATAGCTCGCCGCACCACCGCTGCTCGCACCCTCGTTCGGACTCTGCCAGTGGGCCGGCTCGCGCGTGGTGAGATAGTTGCGGATGGTAGCCGGGAGGCGCTCTTCCGCGCGGAGGATAGGGGGGCTACGGCCGCCCAGCTCGAGGATGGTTTGGAGGAGGATGGCAATAGCGACGATGGCCAGGACGGAGATGGCGTTGCGGACTCCGAATTCAGGAGCTGTGCCGGCGGGTTTGAGGGCGATTTGGTAATGCTTCTTTTCTTGTGAGAAGGAGAGGGGGAGGGATTGCACGACGACTGTGTTGCCTACGCTCACGCTGGCCAGGCGCAGCGTCTGAGCTGAGCCTTCTTTCTCCGTTGGAGTGAATGGAGCGAACGCCAGACCGGTGATTTGCATCGGGTGTACATCTTCAACGCGCGTCAAGAGCTTCGGTGCGGTCATTAACGTGACCGCGCGAGAGACCGCGTACCCCAACGTCGCGATCGAGATGGAGGCTTGGTCGGCAGCCGCAAGCACGAAGCGCGCGTTATCCTGTACACCACCCGCTATTGGCGGGGGATTCAGGTTCGCGACGGCGAGGCTAGTTGCCTGTGTTACTTTCTTGGGTAGGAAGAGCGTCTGTGCTGGGTTGGCTACGTAACCTGTGGGCTCGAGCGTGATGCGCAGGATGCGGATCTGGGCGCCGGTGCGCGCGGGTTTGTTGATCAGGACGGCGAGGAAGTTGGGGGTGAGGAAGCAGAGGGAGCGGAATGAGGAAGGTGGTGGGGAGCCGGGTTCGCGCTCGCCGATGGAGTCAGGCATGTCGTATATTGAGATGGCGTCTTCGAGTTCCGCTTGGGGAGAGATGGTCTTGAGGAAGATGCTGTGGTTGTCGCAGTATGCGACACGGTACTCCTCCAGGCCGGTTTGGATGACATCCACATCCTCTGCCTCCCTATCCAGCTCGATGACCCCGCGGGAGCTCAAGCTCTTCTTCCCATCTGATGTGTCGAAGATGGCGAGCCTCGAGGGGTTTGCGAAGCCCGTCGCGACAACGCCGAGTTGGACGCCCTTCTCAGACGGCCGCGACAACCTCAATAGTCGCTGGTATGTCGCCTTGTCGTTCGACTTGAAGAGCTGTTCCCTCGAAACCTCTTGGATTATCGGGCTGCCCTTCTTCTGCTTCTTGCCAAGCGCATAGACGCGGAAGTGCTCGTTATTCCCTTTCTCGACATCCTTGGTGCTGGAGTTGACGCCGGCATAGATGAACGTGAAGCCACTGACGGTCTTGCTCACGGCCAAGCTAGTGGGGTTGTCCTCCTCTTTGCTGAGCTCCGCTTCGGCGATTTCTCCCAAGTTGTCAGGATCTGAGGCGTCGAGGACTGACTGCAGGCGCAACACGTTAGCATGGAGCGACAATCTCTTTCCCAACACGAGAGGCGCCTCACAATTTTATTCCCAACTCCATTCTTGCCCGCGCCGCCGCCTCCTGCTACCACAAGCCGTGTTGCATCATTGGGGTCGAAGTCGCAAGCGTAGAGGGGATATGAGAGCGTCACTTTCGCGGACGCAATTCCTGGCGCCATGGTGAGTCCCGGTTTCTGTGTGAACGTGTGACTCCGTGAGTGTCGGAGACACAGATATATGTTGAAGGGCGCTGGGCAGTCGCAAACACTGGTGGGAGCTCTACAGGCCTGTTATGGCACAATGACGACGGGCCGATAGTGATGCCACCTATGGAAATTAGCAGGGAGCTACCCCGGACGCTACGCTAAAAGGCCCATAAATATGTATTCTAGAACGTCGAATAGACGCATTTTTTGGAAGTTTGATTTAAGCCTGCGCTATATATGTGGACTAATAACTCGTCTAGTTACATCAAAGGATCCGAACTGGTGTATCGGTAACATATCCGCCTCTCAATATTCGAGTTTCGCTTGAAAAGATTCCGCGGTTGCGCGGGGTTCGACTCCCCGGTTCGGAAAGAACCATTCATCTAAGATGAATAAAGTCTATTTTTTTTGCATTTTTTTTTATAGATTGTATATATTACATACATTATATTTCAATCCATAAGCACAGTCGAGCAATAGCAAATAAACTATGGCCTCTTACAGTACTCCGTACTCTGTGTAGACATAATTATTTCGAAGGGCAAACTATTTTTTTGTTTTTTTGTATGGGAAGCGAGGATTAACGAGCAGGAGCTCTCTAAATAGATATACATAGTACGCTAACCTTATCAGGCGAGGTACAATCGCGACCACGATTGTGGAGAAAAGCCACGATAAGCCAAGGAGCCAGAGCTTTCATTTTGGCCCGGCCTTTGTGCTGTGCTGTATACCTTGAAGATGCATAGACATCTCGACATCACCATATAATAATAGACGCTGTCCATACACGTGACCGCCATTGACTGCGCCTTAACAACCACCGCCGCCACCATGACCGGCCTCTGGAGCCCCAGCAACTCCCATTCCGAGCCACCGTCCGACCCAGCTCCCGAAGATACTACCCTCGATGCCACCCTCGATGCTGCCCTTAATGCAGACATAGCCGACACAGGCGTCGTCGACATCTCCCCCCCCCCGGCACACCTCCCTCCCACGAACCTAACCCCAGCCGTACCCAGATCCAGCGCGACCAAGTCGCCCCTCCCCCACCGCACCAGCCCCCGCCGCCTCCAGCGCCCCAGCAGGTGGGCCACCCCGACGACTCACTCTCACTCTTGCAGCTGAAGCGCATTGTGTCCGACTTGCCGCGCGTGGAACCCACCTCATATGCCTTCACCTATGCGGACACAGCAAGCTTCGAAGAGGAGATCGATGAATGGTTCGGGTATGCGAATACAGAGAGTCTGAGGGTGAACCGGGCAAGGATATGCTGGGGAGGGAGGTGGAAGCAGAGTAGCAAGAAGCTATGGATGGAGGAGGAGAGGAGTGTTAAGAGCGAGTTTGTGAGGAAGGAGTGTGAGGGTCTGAAGGGGGAGGCGGGAGGGAGGAGAAAGAGCTTGCAGAGGATTATGCATATATTACTTGGTGTTTGGGATGAGAGTGCTGGGACGGCGAAGCCTCTTGCGCATTCGTCAAGGGATGTGGGGGTGGGGGAGGAAGAGCCTCAAATCAGGAGCCAGGCCACGAAGAGCCAGGTCGATGCTATGAAGGACGGCGTTGCCCTAGTCACGGAGTGTGGTGGGGTTGCTGCTGCGTTTCAGGCGATGGCAGCCATTCTAGATGGAGTCCGGTAAGTGATATGAACGAAGACTACCTTTTGTTCTTACTGACAGATCAGGAATGAGGAATACCGTGAACTCCGAGAGTCTCAGATGCTGCAAGGAATTGGCCAGTTGCCCGATGAAATCGACAACTCTATGACAGTCATGTACATCCTGATCCACGTCACGGTAACCTGGCCCGAAGAGTTTTCAGCCACAAAAGAAGCACTCGGTATGTACAACTGGGTTATGTTCTAATGTAGCTAACAATTGCAGCTGCCTTGAAGCCAAACCTTTTGGAATATCTCCTCACTACTGTTGCAAAACTCCGCTGGGATGACATCCCTGAGCTGCCACAAAATAAAGTTTGTCTTCCCATCTCCATTTGATAACTACGGACTAACCGATTAGGTCTTTAATCTCTTCTGGAAATCTTTGTTGCTTATTTTTGGGAACATGAGCGAGCTCGACACCGTAAAGGCTGCCGTTGCAGAGAACCTTCAGGCGGAAGGAAAGAAGAGCGAATTGATCACCGCGTCCCCGTTGGACTACCACATTTTTCGACAAGAAATCACCTCAAAATACCCAGCATATATACCACCAGCGCCGCTTCTTCCCCTCGAGCTTGATAATAACTCGATACTACCTCCGCTTCCAAACCACCCTCCTCGGAACACTGGCCAAAACGGCATTATACCGACCCCTGCAACTGCCAACAGTGGCGGTTCTATTCTTCATCAACCCGTGCACATTGCCACGCCAGCACCTTCACCCCCGCCGTCACCACCAGTAGGCGGGAAGGCTGGCAAGAAACAAAACTACCAAACGAACCAGAACTTCCCGTTCATGTATCCACCTCTGGATAGTACGAGCAACAATGCCGGTGGCAAAGGCACAGCAGGCCGTCAAGGCGAGCTAGTTGGCCGAAAATGGGAGGGAAGTGAGATTCCTGCTTCTATTCTGGAGGCTGGAGAGCTATTTGCCAAGAGAATGAAGATGACGAGAGCTATGAGGCAACTTTGGGATGAGCGGGAAGCTTTTCTAAAGCATGAAAGGGGATGGGATGGACAGGGTAGCGAAGATGACCCAGACTTTGACGTCGATGAATTGGAATTAGATGAAGCACTGTCGAGGAGACTGGAAGCTTTGGGGAGAGAAGAAGAAGAGGAGGAAAAGAAGGTCGAACTAGACGTTGGGTCGAGGCCTGTGAGCGAAGATGTCAAAAAGCGCCTTGAAGTGGTTGAAGATTTCTACGTAAGTCACATGGCATCGCCAAGTTCCGCTCCCAAACTGACATTTCTAGGGGGCTGCACTCCTACAAATGCAATCACTGGTGATTGTATTGCTCAAGGCTGTTCTGGCCAATGTCACCGCATTGATCACCCAGCCAATTACGGGGCAGCCTCAGCAACAAAATGGACTCCAGCCAGGCTTCCAGTCGGAATCCAATTTAAGGAATAGCACTGCAGGTCAACGACGACCAGCCCACGCTCAAGAGGCTCAGAATCCGTCCCAGCCAGCGGTATTTGACGTTCGCGATCTACCAATTGAAGATTTAGAGGCACTGAGGCAACGAGAAATCACACTGAAAGCTGTTTCTGGAATTCTTCTGGTTCTCCTGAAATGGTTCAAAGTGTCTTGTAAGCCTCCCATTACCTATCAAGCTAAGATTACATGCTAATGACAAACAAGACATCCTTAAATTCGAGTATCTCACCCAGCTCCTCCTGGATTCCAACTACCTCCCCTTAATCTTGAAGCTATTTGCCCATCAAGACGTCGACAAACTTGTCGATACTGACTCCGACCGCGCTGCCCTCTCCTTCTTCACATACTGCAACAAGTCCAGCAAACACCCCGGCACCCCTTCCCCAGCCGAAAACTCCGAATCTGAGGACGACGCCGCCCCGCCCCCAATCAAACGCAACCGTCTCTCCCCGTCCTCAGCAACCGACAAGCTTCCAGCGGTCACCTACCGCAGCCCCTCCGCAATCCATTCCCCCCTCCAAGTCGACGAGCTTGGCGCTCCCATCCCCATCGTCCCCGCTGCGCCTAGCACGAACTACTCCTGGCGCAACTTCTACAGCGCCATTACGCTGCTCCGCGTGATGCAGAAGATCTGCAAGGGCAAAGCTCATCGCAACCTGCTCCTCGTGCAGTACAAGAGCAGCAACATCATCAAGAAGGCGCTGAAAGTGCCACAGCAGGAGTTGCGCCTGTACACGCTCAAGCTGTTTAAGAGCCAGGTGCCGTACTGTGGACGCAAGTGGCGGCAGGGGAATATGCGCGTCATTACGGCGGTATACTTGCATTGTCGCCCGGATCTGAGAGATGAGTGGCTCAGTGGGAGTGATGTGGATGGGGATATGGAGGAGGCGCTGCCTTTGGAGCAGGCGCTGAGGAGTCTGACGTACTGGGGGAATGTGAGGAGGTATAAGAAGGTTATGGCTGGGGAGGTTTCGACGGATGGTGGGGAAGGTGACTTTTTTAGGAGGGAGTTGGAGAAGATGGAGATTATGGCGGGGTCGGATGGGGAAGAGGCAGAGGCTGAGACGGGGTGGGAGGGTGCTGGCCAAGGTTGGCAGTAGAGCAAGGGGTGGATCCGGCGTAGTAGCTTTATGGATGGAGCGTTGGAGCCTGGCGCGTGAATATAGGTGGACAGTGTCTATGTGACCTGAAGTAACTGGTAGCATCCCACCTCTTTTTATTTTTCTCTAGGCACTCGGTCCTCATTGTGCAATTGTAGATGATTGTAAGTGCCTTCCTAACCTACAGTATCTGAGAAACACGATCACGGATCATAGCCGCTGACATGGCCACTAGACTGCAGGGTTTCTGTCTGGACATGTCACCAGAACTAAGCTTCTTTCTCTGCGGCTTTGGCACACAAGCCCAGGATATCGTCATAGACGATCAGACCAACAATCATCGGCTGCAGGACTCCAACACCAGCCTTCGCTGCAATGACACCAGTTGCCGCTGGGAACACGGCACCGCCAGCTTGGGCTACAACAAAGATGATTCCTAGCGTCCTTTGTTAGTCTGGCTGCCGCGTTGGGGATATTGAATACGCACCAAGTGATGGCGCCAATTTTGCGGGTGGCATCAACATCTTCCCAGTTGTCATGCCATGGTATCATAGCAGCTAGTTCTATCTTCCCGCCATGCACAGGGCAGCACCGATCCGTTGATAGGAGCGGGCCATAAACTTACAGCAGCGAAAAATGGGCCTAGGAAAAAACTCATCAACGCCGCACACACGGCAGTCGCAGCAATACTGTTCACTCTCCACGAGACTATCTGCAGCCCAAAGCACAACTTTGGGCTGCAGATAGTCTCGTGGAGAGTGTATCAGTAGCATGCGCCTCTCGCCGAATCGGTGTGTAGGCTCAACGAGAATTAGCCGGCCAAGCGTGGTCCCCACGGAGATAATAGTAGAGAAATATCCCACTTTCGAAAGCTCGCCGTGTCGCGCAGTGACGAGATACTCAACGAGCCAGCCTTCATACAAAGTTAGCAACACTCCCAGAATAAAGCCAAGTGAGACGCTGTAATCCTTACCTCCAAGCGTAATACCCAAACCCAAGTAGAAGGAGTTGAAGATGCTCAGAAGCCAAACCTCCTTCTGCGCAGCCGTCTCCCGCATCTCCACCCACGCCTTCCCAAAGCTCCCCTGCGCCTCCTCTTCGCTCTCCTCTCCACTCTATTCACAGCCTTCTTCCCAAACGTCGTATTCTCCCAAAACGCCACCGTCACAAGCGCCATATTCAGCCCCGCTATCCCAATCGCAAATCCGTAGAACAGCGCCCACTGCCCTGGCCGCGTCGAGGCGATCGCAGCCACCACGAGCGGACCAACGACACATCCGGCTCCGTAGCTGGCATGGATGACACCGAGCCAGCGGTGTGCCGATTTGACAGTTGCAACGAAGGCGTTCGCCTGTGCGTCTCGGAACGCAGCGCTGACGGCGGCGAGGAAGAATGTCACGGCGAAGAGGACAAACGGTGGGGTCTGACGGGTTAGCCCTTGCTGAATATCTCTTATGGTACAATTAAAAGGGGAAACTCACCCACACCCTCAGCACGTGTGTGAGGACCTGGAACGCGCCGAGCATGAGCACGCCTCCGCTCCCGAGCTTGGCGCGCGACAGCCCAGCCAAGGCGCAGGCAAAGAGGATTGCTATAGAGCCAGTGCTGATGCCATACGTATGCAGAATATAGGGGACCAAGGCACCGAGACTACCATCGTTGACGCCGGCCGTGAAGAAGGCGAAGGGGGCGCTGGCGAGCTTGAGCTTGAGGAATGGGGTTAGAGGGGCTTCTTCAGGGTCAGTGGGGGTGGGGAGAGTGGTCATAAAATATCCATCTTCTAGGTGGAATGGCGGTGGATGGGTTGAGAGAGTACGGTTGTTGCTGTTGGAACATCGACGGTTTGTAGTACCATTGCGAATATATTTCACAGGTTCATGGGGCAGATAGAAACCATGGCCTCGATCGCTTCATGTCTATGAATCAAATTATGTGGGCTCCTTCCTGTAGTGTAACCCTCTCCTTCCCGTTCCCAATAGCTCCTAAAGTACCCAAACCCTGGCATCAACAACTCCTTTGTAAATATCCCATATCCGTAAACAAACGCCCTACAGCATCGCCATGGCCATAGCAGCCCCACCCAAAACCCATCCCGCTCCCTGTGAAACCGCCGCAGCAGCCCCTGTACTCGCGCCCCCGGGTCCCGAGTCCGTGGTCGTTGCCGCGACTCCCGAACCCTTGGTATCCGTAGCCGACATACCCGCGCCTGCGCCTGCACCTGATGTTTGTGTCGATTCTGCACCAGACCCCGTGGTTGACGGCGCGATGCGGTTTGCGCCTACTGCGCCCGCCATGATTGTGATGTGAATGTAGGGCTGGTCGGTGCCAATGTATGTCTCGGTGCTAACTCCCGGGAAGCTGGCCTCGCTGCCGCCGTGGGACTCGACGCAAACTGCGGAGGTGGTGCCTGCTAGGGAACAATCGAAATGTCCCGCACTACGTACATTAGTTATGTGTCTTTGGCTGTAGATGGGGGGCGAGAGGGGCAGTGGCAGGTGGCCGGCCGGAAGAGACTCATGGTTGTGAGGGAGGGGGTCGTACAACGCAGTTTGGCCGTTGGGGTCTATCACAGGGGCAATGGTATATTTCACTGTCGTGGGCCCTTCGGTAAGCGTGATGGTTCCTTCGACACCGCAGTCTTGGGCCTCAGCCCCAGGGTCGCATGAAACGGCGTATGTGGTCGCTGTTGCGTCCTGGCGTTGTTAGTATGAGACCCTGGTGATCTGGGTAGGCGATGTACTTACGGAGCCAATGATGGAGGCAACAAGAGGTTGTTCGTCGGTGCTCGGGACAAAGAGAGTGACGGTTGCCTTCTGCGCAGCAGAGACGGTGGCCAAGGCGAGGCCGACGAGGCTGACGGATGCGGGACGCATGGTTCTGTTGTCGGCGTGGTTCGTGTACTTTTGTGAATGCCTGATGAAATAAAATAGTTGCAAAATAAAGGACAAAATGAAGGTAAAGGGTTGTAGTTATAGACAAGAGACAAAACGCCAACACGCAAAAAGAATTGAGGTCCTCGTTTGGAAACACGACTTATCTTTCTTGTCGGCCACGCGGTGCCTTGGTGCGTGCTACTTGGCCCACGAACCCCTACCAATAGAGCGATTCAGCAGGTGTTAGACACCTCATTCGACAGTCCTGTATGTAGTTAGTGTAGAAAATTTGACCAGGAACCCTGTATAAACCCTGTACAAACCCTGCTCGCCGTGAACCCCACTATTTCCTAAATAGGAAGTAAGACTGTCAGCGTCAGACAGTTATCTGTTCAAGGCTAACAGCCAGCCAGATTCCTATTGTAGTTAGAATATAAGTTAGTAATCACCTTGGATAGACGTCATGTAATTGTAAGGCGAATACAGTAGTATAGTGTAACGCTGACTTCTAAACGATAGAAGGCACAGAGGTTCTCTTGCGTAAAGGTTTATGTAATGGTGGGTGCACCAGATATGAGAATCTAGCCACCCAAGGAAGGGATGAATTTACTAAGACAACACACTGTCTTAGGAAACAGAGCCAAAGGGTTGTAGCTTAGACTATTCCACAACGCAGCAATCAGGTGTATGATGTGGTGAAGTGGTTTAGACAAGTTGCAACAAATGTTGAGTCTGAGAACTCAGGGGTAAGTCAGAGGTTAGCACCTCACTGACTTTTCAAAAACAGAGAATAACAAGATCAATGCTTGGAAGCTTGGAAAAGACGTGGAAGTATGTGCTAGTCGATTTACTGTATTGCCTGCTTGCCCTTTCTTAAGGAAAGGGCAATCCTATTTATGCCAAAGGAGTGTAGTGTAACGCTGACTTCTAAACGATAGAAGACACAGAGGTTCTCTTGCGTAAAGGTTTACTTATCAGAGGAGGCAGGGGATCAGACACAAAGGCTTCAAGTAACACGTTACTAGTATATAACAAATACTGTATTGAGTTGAGCACGAAGCTCCTATCTAAGGAAATACTATCTACTTATATAGTGGCGTCGTGCCTAGTGGACTCTTGGGAACTCACTTGAGTCCTCGGAGTCCTGGACTCTTAGGACTCTTCTCATCATCCTGCGAGTCCATCACGTGCCTAGTGGACTCCTGGGAACTCACTCGAGTCCTCGGAGTCCTGGACTCTTAGGACTCTTCTCATCATCCTGCGAGTCCGTCACGTGATACTTTCGGAACTACTATTCCCCGCTGCCCCTCCAGGTACCAGGGCCGGTCTCATGCGACCTCCCTCCTTCCTGTCCTGTAGTTGGCCAGCCTTCTTGTTCCGTCGTAACACTCGCTCCCTTCCCCTGGGCATTCGTCTCGAATCCTATAAGTACGTCCATGTCCCCGGGACTCTGCTGCTCCTCAGCGAGTCCTTCAATATGCAACATGCCTACTGACACTGCCCGCAAACTCCAGGAACGCAACGATCTTGTCCGTCGAATAAAGAACCACGGATACGAACTACCCGAAATGGATTCTTGCTCGAACTGCGTGAGGCGAAACATTACTTGCGTGTCGTCTCCAAATGATTCACGGCGGTGCGCCGAGTGCGTTCGTCGCAACTTGAAAGAAAAGTGTGACTGTATGGGTCCTGAGCATCCCGACTGGGTGAAGCTCGAACGGGAGGAGGATCGCCTGGATCGCGAAGAGGAAGAAACCCTTTCGAAGTTACTTCGTCTGCGAAAGCAGAAACGCCTCATCCGAACCCGTGGTAAAGATATGCTCCGGCGAGGTTTGAAAACCCTCGACGAGCTTGATGCGGCAGAGGAGGCCGAACGTGTGGCTGCTGAGAAGCGTGACGCTGTTGAGGCTGAGGAACAGGCAGTTAGCGCTGCCTCCTCGTCTGTGACCGGGACCCTCGCTTCCTCCGATCCACTGGCCTACTCCCCTGCATCTTGGGATCAATGGCTGGCGGATGGCGGCGTCGATATTCCTCCAGCAGTTCTTTGCTGATGTTCCTTGTTGGTTCCCACGAATTATCCGTAGGTTCGTAATTTTCCCATTTTATCAAAAACTCTTCTCGACGTCCTACTAACCTTCTGTCTAGGATCGCTTCGACCTCATATTCGATTATCTCATTCTCGGGTTGGAGTTCGGTGTCGGTCGCAATTGGGGTATTTCCTCTTGCTGGTTCCAGTAGTGAGACATGAAATACCGGGTGTAGTCTAGACTTCTTAGGTAGCTGCAGTCTGTAATTAACTGAGCTGACTTTGTTCAATATTTTGAATGGTCCCAATTTCTTGAAGTCCAACTTTGTGCTTGGTCGTTTCGTTTTGATATGTTTCCGGAGTAGGTATACTTTATCCCCCTCCTTGAAGGCAGGTTCCATACTGCGCTTCTTGTTTGCGTATGCGGCGGATCGTTCATTTAAGAATTGGATGTCCGTCGCAAGTTGTTCGTGGAACGATTTCAGTTGTTCCACCACGATCAGGGCTTGTTCAGCTCGTGATTCATCCGGTCTTGGTTGCCTATATGCTTCTGGCTGGTAGCCATAATTGGCAAAGAACGGTGAGACTTTCGTTGCTTCTGTCATCGCGCTGTTATATGCAAACTGTGCGATGGGTAAGATCTGAACCCAGTTATCCTGTTGATGATTGACATAGCTTCGCAGGTACTGTTCAAGGGTCTGATTTAATCTTTCTGTTTGGCCATCTGTCTGGGGATGAAAAGCTGTTGATAGCTTATGATTTGTTCCCAGTAGCGCCATCAATGATTTCCAGAATTTCGAAGTAAAGAGCTTGTCTCTATCTGAGATGATTTCTTCTGGCATCCCATGATCGGCTAATATGACTCGAATGAAGGTATATGCGAGCGCCTCGGCGTCGCTAGCTTCTAGATATGGTATAAACTTCCCATATTTCGTGAGTCTTTCCGTGATGACGAGGATAGAGTCATATTCTATTCCTGTTAACGGGTCCTTGGAGGGTGGAAGCTTGACGATGAAGTCCAAAGCTATTGATTTCCACGCTCCTTTTGGTACTGGTGTCGACTTGAGTTGTCCGTATGGCAGATGCCTATTGGATTTTGACTTGCTGCAAATGTCGCACTCTCTTACCACTGTCTCTACCTGCTTCCTCATACCTGGGAAGTAGTAGTGTCGAGTGATTCGTTCGAAGGTTCGTGTTACTCCCTGATGACCGTGTGCTGGTAACGAGTGTTGTTCTTGCACCAGCGGGCGTCTCATTTGACTTGGGACATACACTAACCCTTTGTATCGAATCAATCCTTGTTCGTCGATGGTGAAGTCGCCTTCGACTTTGGACAAGACTCGCTTGGCGCATTCGTCTGTTGCGTAAGCTTTCTTGAGTCTTTCCTCGAGTTCTGTATCTTCGATGACTGAGATCGTCGCTAGTAACTCGTTGTACTGTATTCCTGCATCTGTTTTCTTCAGAATTGCTCTAGGTCTTTCTTCCTTTGGGCCGGCGTAGTCGGTCCGTCTGCTGAGAGCGTCTGCTCTTGCATTCTCGGAGCCCTTGCGATAGGTTATCGTGAAGTTGTAGGCTGCGAGGGTTTCTGCCCAGCGGACTTGTCTGCGGTTTAAAACCTTGGTCGTGGTGAAGTATATGAGGTTCTTGTGATCCGTCCATACCTGCACAGGGTAGGTGGATGTAATGGTGGGTGCACCAGATGTGAGAATCTAGCCACCCAAGGAAGGGATGATTTTACTAAGACAACACACTGTCTTAGGAAACAGAGCCAAAGGGTTGTAGCTTAGACTATTCCACAACGCAGCAATCAGGTGTGTGATGTAGTGAAGTGGTTCAGACAAGTTGCAACAAATGTTGAGTCTGGGAACTCAGGGGTAAGTCAGAGGTTAACACCTCACTGACTTTTCAGAAACAAGGAGTAACAAGATGAATGCTTGGAAGCTTGGAAAAGATGTGGAAGTATGTGATAGTCGATTTACTGTATTGTCTGCTTGCCCTTTCTTAAGGAAAGGGCAATCCTATTTATGCTAAAGGAATGTAGTTCTCTCATTTTCCAAGACTTTCCATGACTTACCAGGCTTGGTAACTGTAGTTGACGTAAGAGAATCCCATAGAACCATCTCTTAGGTTCGTAGCCTATAGGAAGTAAAAGGAGGTCCAAGGTCAGAGTACCCCTATAGACAAATTATGTCATAGACAAATTATGTCATAGACAAATTATGTCATAACTTAACCAATCTTGTGGGTAACTAAAGAGCGATGACATGTAATGAATCATAGAGGTTCGTAGGAGCTTTTAGAGCTATCGTTCATGCTCCTAGGCCTCTAGTTGGTAGAGATATGTCATGTGGTAGTATGAGTGATGTCATGTAATGAATCATAGAGGGTTGTAGAGATATGCTATGTGGTAATATCGGCCCAGTAACTAAGGAGCGATGACGTGTAATGAATCATAGATGGTTGTAGCAATTGTTGAGTAGTATTGCTCTTGTTGTTGGTGTGATAAGCCAAAATATGTATAGTGACTTGTAGGTTTGAGGAGGAGATTTCCAAGTTTGCTCTTGAGTTTGATAGCAAACTGAGTGCAACGAATGTCAGTATGACAGAAAAGCATCGGACTTCCTGCGGGTGATGTGGATGGTTTGATGAATCCTTTTGCTAGGTTATCATCAATGTACTCCTTGAGTACCTTTAGCTCTTTTTCTGATAGCTGATATATTGGTCCGAACGGTGGACTCTTGTCTTTCTCTAGGGGTATCTCGTGATCCCATGGTTGGTGCTTAGGAAGCGCCTCGTTCTTAGGGCCTTCCTGGAATAATTGCTCGTATTCCTTGTACTCCACCGGTATACTCGTCGGTGAGGATGCCTGGGCTAGGTCATCGAGCTCGGAGGTTGCACATAACTCCTTCCGGCCCTGGGAGGGTTTCTCCCGTTGTCGCGTGTCCGTCCGTTGTTTACACGCGCGCTGGCTCATCACAACTTTCTCGTTCCACCAGTCGATCTGGGGGTTGTGTTTCTTGAGCCATGGCACACCAAGGATGCACGCATGGTTGTCCATGTGCACGATGTCAAACTGAATCGTTTCCTTGTGCCCATGTAGCATGACCATTTCTAATGGGACCGTTTCGTGGGTCACCATTCCTTCATTAGTCGAGA